ACGTGGCCCCACCACTCACACTCCAGCTGCTTCATTGAACTATACGGACAACGCTGTCACAAGGTGGGTGGCGTATATATTCTATACTGTCCAACTCAGACATTTCACTACTATGTTACTGGGTAGTCAACGCTTAAGTGTTTGCCATTCAGTGTAGAACAAAAAATATTTTAAAAAACACCAAAAAAAATAAAATAACTTTTCAATGAACACTTTTTTTATATAGGTAACTTTAAGACCATCGTTACGCTGTGCGTAAAGAATGTACAGAAACAAAATTTGTAGGTATTTTTTTTGGAAAACAATTAATTTGTTAATGATATGTAGCTATTTAATTTGCCCTTTCTTTAAATGTAATCATACAGTTCTGTTTTTTTTTTTTTTTTCTTTCTGGTTTGGAGTAAAAAAGTTGATCTTTTTATTTTTTTTTCTTCTTGTTTAGATGTGTCTGTAATACAGTGACGTGCAGGTACACTTGTATAATATTGAAACGCTGCATTAATATTGGATAGCCACTAGCATGTCATTGCTGAGTCCGCCAAGTGTTGCAGGGATTCTGAAACACAAAAGCGGGGGTCTTTGTCAAGTGAACACATTGCGGTTTGTTATCCTGGACTTGTTTTTAAAAAGAAAGTTTCGGAATCAATGTCCATATAGAACTCGCAGGCTCCTTGTGATCTTTTTGTAACTGTCCTGGGTGAAAAAGGCAATCTGATCACTTCAGCTGTACAGTAAAATGTGACTCATTAAAACAATCTCATATTTGTGTGTTTTATATATATATATCGATATATATCTATATCTCTATCTATCTTATACAAGAGCAGTCTTAACTTTCATGACTCTGCTGCCCTATCTGAGATAGGTGCCTTGTATACAGCACAGGTGGCCAAACCACACTCAAATAAAGACAAGCACTCGACAATTTTCTTGTGTTTCTTTTAACTCGTAATTCATCGCATGGACATACACATTTCTTTGGCTTGTCTGTTTGTGATGCCAATTTGTGTGTTACTGTCAATGACATTGTGTGATGTCACTGGTTTAGATATACAAACCTTATGTTATAGTTGGCAGGATACAACACACTATTGAAGCTGTACAAGTGTAAAATAAATCACACGGCTAATACAATATTAACTAAAACCCATTTTGTAACTGGAGGTGGCTATTTAGTGTGCTTTCAAATTGGGAAGCTTTGAGTGCAACATTGATTGGCATTGGCCAGCAAAGACTCCAATACCTTTGGACCTTTGTACGTCTTCATAAAACGAACAATGTGCGTTTGACTTGTACCTGTTGCATAAATGCACTCTGGGAGCAGCCATTTTGTATGCTCAAATAACGGTTCTTTAGGAAGTAATGAGACCTACACATGTCGTCACTCACCCAGAGTTTAGCAACTTTTTGTGCTCAACAGGTGCTCTTTTTAATTCTCAACTCTCATTAACACAATCTGGAGAAAGTCAAAGCATACAATTCCGGGGTTTAAGGTCAAAGCGTTCTTGATTTTAAGATCAAAGCGTTCTTGATACCAGTGATGGACAAAAATGATAAAACAAAAAGAAAGTGTCTGGTTTTCCTTGAATGGAACAAGTCATTGGACATTTTTCTACATTTCCATGTTTGTAAATCTGTAATATAACATTCTGTTGTGGCCTTGTATTGTCTGGAAACAGAAAGGAGGAAAAAAAAAAGTTTGGCAGGCCATCTTTTTTTTTTTGTACGTTAAAGTAGCCTTAAAGAACAATAAAGTGCTCTTAAATCACACCCGGTGTCTATATATTTATTTTCTATCAATGTATACTTGTATAGGCTGAGTATGTGTGTTTATACATGGTACAGACCCCCCTTCCCCACCTAAACCAGTGCCAGGCTAATCTGAAAACCAGAAACATTGAACCCAAATGACTGATATTTTTGACTGCCTAGTGACCTTGAACAAATTGCAGCCAGGAAAGTCTAAATCAGTCCATCCTGCATACCTATTTCCAGGTCAGTGACTCAGTGCAAGATCTGGAACTATACATCTAGATCCTGGCTTTATTACTTAGTAATAAAAACAAGACAACAAAGGCGGCTCCCTTATTTCCATCCTCATGGGTTCACTTTAAATCTCGGCACAGGCATTAGATGGCAATCAATATAGACTTCTGTGGCTCAGCTGAGTAACAATACATCTTAGATGAGAATATCAAAACGTTCACTTGGATCTAGAGCAGGACGTGCATACATATTTACAACAAAAGTTGTGGTGGGGTTTATTAAACGAGGACTCTGAGGACATTCTGAGTCCTCGTTTAATAAACCCCACCACAACTTTTGTTGTAAATATGTATGCAGTTGACTAAATTGGGGTCTTGGAGCACCTGGGTGGAAATTTCCGGAAGTGTTATTTGATAGTAGAGCGGGACTTGAATGGGGAGTGGAAGGGGCGGGGGGCATTTGTTGCCCTCTGAGCTAGTACTTATATGATCTGCTAGTGGCCCTGGGTGCAGATACTATACTTGTTGAGGTCTCAATCAGAACAGAATTGTATGCTTTTGCCTGAGGAAGGGGATCCTCTGTGACCCCGAAATGTTTGCTGCTATTTGTTACACTGCACGTCAATAAGTAGATGTTTGCTTATCTATTTGGAGTGCCGTTATCTCTGTTTCTACCTCAATCAGAACAGGACCCACAATCAGTGACCATTGTTGGGTGTTCTATAGCAATCGGTCCCCTATTTAGACCTGAGATCACTGTCTCCCTCATGTCATGTGACTGAATGCTGAGGGCCACCATGGTCACCAATCAAGAGACACAATTGTATGGTACACTGCCCCTACCATGACAAGGCTAGTTGGTTGTGTTTGTACCCCAGGCCAAAGGTTTTCAATCCTCTCCTGTTGATATCATCCACACACGCATGTTTATTGTAGGGACCATCCCAGAGCTGACATCCTCGTGGGGTATTTGGGTCTCAAGTTCTATAGAAGACTTATTACCCCATGCTTTGAATTTTGATATGTTCATTTAGTTGTGTATGGATTATCATTGCTAGCAACTTAAGGTATCAAATATTGAAGAAATGTTGATGGGAGGCAAGACTAGAACTTTGGAAAAGGCCGAGTTTGAGTTTCAAAATCTGTTGCCTAATTCTGAAAGCGGTTCAGGGGTCTGTTGCACCTTCTGGATATACACAGAGAAGAACAGGTTCAAATCAAGATGCATATTAATGTGACACACTTTGAATAAGTACATTGTAACTACAGCAATGGGCACACCTCCTGAAATGTTTGTGTACTAAAAGCAGGACCACAACAAAGTCTGTCCCTCTACCGGCTTCCTAAGCCCAGCCAAGCTATGTGGGTGGGAGTTTAACTGATTATGCAAAGTTAACTGAAGCTTACACCTCACTGGGAGAAGTTATGTCGCCTTGCAAAACTTTAAGCTTTAGCTGTTCAGTAATATT